ACCTGGGCTCCTACGTAACGGTAAATGGAACACTAGATCGAGAAATTGTCCACAGAATACAGGCTGGTTGGTTTAACTGGAAACGAATGAGCGGAGTACTTTGTGATCGAAAAAAGAGTGTGGTGAGACCTACGTTGGTATACGGAGGTGAAGTGTGACCTATAAAGACGATGGAGGTACCAGAACTGAAAATTTTACGGCGAATGTTGGATAAGACTAGAAGGAACAGGATCAGAAATGACTTGATTTGGGAAAGAGCCGAGGCGACTAGTCCCAAAAAAAGATTCAAGAATAAAGACTGCAATGGTTTGGTCATGTCAGACGTAGAGATGAAAACTATATGGGAAGAAGGATAGAACTGTTAGAAGCTCATGAAAGAAGAGGTAGATAAAGGCTTAGCTGAAGAAGACCCGATGGACAGAAATGAGTGGCGACGAAGAGTAAGGAACAGCGACTCCTGAAAAGAGAAAAGCTGAAGAAGAAGAAGAATAAAAATAAATTAAATTCACTAAAATTAAATAAATAAATAAAAGTAAAAATTATAAAAAGTATAAAAACAAATTGGAAATAACTATAAAAAATTACAAAAATTAAATAAATTTAAATAAAATTTCATAAAAATTAAATAAAAGTAAATAATATTGAATATAATTAATATAATTGATGACAAAAGTTTATTTTACAAATTTTTTTTAGTCGGTTATAGATAAATGTTTACCAATGGAAAATTTTTAGTAAAAATTAGTTAATATATCCTCCCATTATTCATGATTCTTTTTAGAATATAATGATGATCAAAATGAAATAAATACAAGATAATAGTGAAAATGTATATGATGAATACATTCTATAGGTATTATGTGTATACATAATACCTATAGAATTAATTATCTGAAAATTACAAAAATCATTTAACAAAATTTTTAAAGAAAAAATTAGGATTTTTTAAATTTTAAAGAAAAATGTGTATTGTTATTATAAAAAATATAACACGCTATAAGCAATATTCACTTTGTATGATACGAAGCGCTTTCAAGCATTATTACACTATTTGGCTCCAAGTTTGGGATCAGTGAGTTTAAAAACCAATCGTCAAAAATATCAGCTTCCATACTCTTATGGCAGTCAACATTACACTCCTCTATTTTCTTTCCACATAATTTTAAAGCATTCGGAAACCATCTCTCACTCCCTCCGCAATGTAAAATAATTAGCTGCAATCCTTTATTTGCAAGCATTTTTGATATGCATATGTTGAACCATCTGTCCATCCTTTCTTAACTGTATCGTGGATATCATACCAAGTTTCGTCTGAATAGTAAATTCATCTAATTTCTTGCCTATATTTAGTAATTTGTTCTAGGTATATATTATGCCTATTGACTTTTCTTTGGCTTTCCATAAGTGTTTGGGGTTTATTTATTGTGTTAAATTTAGCTCATTTTCTTTATCCAATTTTGAAGTTTTCTCGTAGCAGTTCATGTTCCAACCAGTTGGTTCCAATTGCTTTCTTAATATTCCTATTGTAGGCATTTTATTGTTTCTGCAGCAATCATATTGTAGTTTTCGGCACTTTCATAAGTGAAGCATCTATAAGTCTTAAAAATTTGTAGTTTGTAGTTGTAAATAGTTAAGTTAGTCATATATTAAGCCAGAAGTTGATTGTACCAACAGTTTTTCATCGAAGCCGAATTTATTTGATAGTTTTGTGGCTTCACTGACACTTTCTACAAAATCACTGTTGTTATCGTATGCAATTTTCAACCACATTGTGCCACGAACGGCACATCACTATTCAAAACTATTAAATTTCATCAAGCGACTCTCTACACTCTACTAACGAACTGCTTCCCAACTAAAACGCTTCGCACAGGCATCCGGGCGGTTGTAAAGAGATAAGATAAGATGGGACCTTTTGTCGCATTTAAGGCGTTCTACAATACAGTAGCCTCTCTCTATATTGATTCCCTATATAACGATAATTCCTCTACAACGATGAAAATAGTAAACGTTGGTTGGTTCGTCATAAGAACAATGTATTAATTCTTTCTCTATACCGATATCGTTTTCTCTTTATAGCGATAACTTTTTTAGCGTTCAATAGTTGATGACAAATGTGTTACTGTATTTAAAGTTCGGACTACCTGAGTCACGAATGAAAAGGTCATTGTTCAGCGGTTGCTTTGTTTTGCGTTTAAGGAATGCGGCATACACCCTTTCTTATCAGAGGGTTAAGTGACGTTTATTGTTCGGGCGTAATTAACTGTTATCACACAGATGTTGTCATCTATTGACGACTTTTAATTTCCAGTTTGAGTTGCGTCTTAGTGTGGCAACAGTCAACATGTTTTCAAAAAAGCGTAAAGTGCTCTCGGTGGAGGAAAAAACTATCGCTAACTCGAGCAATAGAGAAAGGTGAAAAGCAATAGGATGTCGTTCGCCGGACGGGGCTGTCTCAGTCAACTGTGGCTACGATATGGAAGGACAGAAAAAAGTGGCTTAAAGCGGAGATGGAGGGCGGTAGCAAGAAGAAGTTGCGGAAACCTCAGCACGAAGATTTAGATCGCGCTATGCTTCAGTGGTTCTAGCAGCAGCGTATGAAGCATATTCCACTTTCTGGGCCTGTGGTCAGGACAAAAGCTGAATTTTTTGCAACTGAACTTGGAATTGAGAATTTTAAGGCATCTGAGGGTTGGCTGAGCAAGTGAAAGATGCGGCACAAGATCAACTACGGCCAAATCAGCGGAGAGGCTCGCGATGTTAACAAAAACGTAACGGATCATTGGCTAGAAATCGTGTGGCCTGGACTGAAGGCACGATATGCGTCAGACGACATTTTCAATGCGGATGAGACTGGATTGTTTTTTAAAATGACACCCAACATAACTTTAAAATTTAAATTGGAAAAGTGCGTTGGTGGAAAGCTCTCTAAGGAACGCATTACAGTTTTAGTAGCCGCTAACATGACAGGTTCGGTGAAGCGAAAATTGTTAGTGATAGGGAAGTCGAAAAACCCGCGTTGCTTTAAAAACATAAAAAATCTACCGGTGACATATAAAGCAAACAAGAGTGCGTGGATGACCTCGGAAATTTTTGAAGAAGCGATAAGAAAGTGGGATATCGAGCTTAAAGGGAAAAAATTCTTTTGCTTGTAGACAATTGTCCTGCTCATCCTGTATTGCACGACCTTCAAAACATCGAACTCTGTTTTCTGCCAGCAAACACAACGAGTGTCCTTCAGCCCATGGACCAAAGTGTCATCAAGAGTTTTAAAAAACCATTATAGGAGAAGACTTTTGATGGAATTGGTTGAGAATAATGGCGATCTTAAACTAAACATTCTTAACGCCATCCTAATGATTAGTAAATCCTGGGACGAGGTGACGAGTAATACAATACAGCATTCCTTCAAACACGCAGGATGGCTGGAAGATCAAGGATTGGCTTATGATGAAGATGACCTGCCATTAGATGTTTGGGCCAGACAGTTTGAATTTACTATCACCTACGGACCGGAAGAGCTAACAGATTTTGAAGAAGTTGATAGAAATGTAGCTACAACATCTGGACTTTCTGACGAGGACATCCTGCAAGCAGTTCGTGTAGAAGAAGAAGAAAACAGTGACTCTGAAGTGGAAGCAGAGTCAGAACCAGCTCCGACCCCTCAGCAGTCATTGGATGCGGCAAAAGTACTGCATCGATTTTTCATCCACCAGGAAGACGATATGAGTGCTGTAGAAGATTCGATGCGTCTTCAGGACAAGGTCAGGTCAGTTCTGTGGAAAGGGAAAAGAAGACAGACCAAGGTGACAGATTTTTTTGATAATGTAGGCTAAATATATTTTACAGTGGCATTTTATTTTTTTATTGTACAGTACACATGTTTTAATTGCACAGTCATTTTTTATACTGTATTGCTTATATTATTCGTTAATAAATCTATGTGGAATACAATTTTAAGTCATTTATATTTGTTTTGATAATTTTTTTAAATTAAAATAGGTTATTTAGTACAGTATTATTAATATTACAGTACCGAATTTTGTCTCTCTCTGTATAACGATCTCTCCTTATAACGATGAAAATTCCCGGTCCCTTGCATATCGTTATAGAGGGAAAGGACTGTATATGTTATACACAATAAAGTTTATTTATTTTTTACTTTTCACTTTTAATGGTCAAATTAGATTTAAACTTGACGTACAACTACAAAACATGTTGAAAATCTGATTTTTTTAACTCTAGCCACACGCAACAAACAAAAAAACTTTGAGTAACATTTCTAGTCATCTTCTTATGTTTTTTGATGTGATTTCTGAGTCTTTTCTGAGTGGCAATGAATTAGACTTTTTCCAAAGGCCCGTAAAAAAGATGGCGAATCGTTAAATCCAGTGAGAGGTGATTTCTATGGTATTAAATATTCTCAGCTGCATACTTAGGACATTATCCACATAATAATTTTTAAACCTTTAAACAATTTAAACTGATATTTGTAAATGTGTACAGAACTTGTGTATTTATGAAAACCTGTACTTCTTCTTCAGGTTCCTTCTCCTATCGGAGGTTGGAAATCATCATCGCTATTACAATTTTATTGGCCGCGCTTCTGAATAATTCTACGCGCTACTTCTCGTCCATCATTATATGACCCAGATATTGAATGTTTCTAATTTTAATAGTTTTTATGACTTCACATTCTTTCTTCATTCTTTGTAACACCTCTATATTAATTACTTTTTCAGTCCACGATATTCTGTGGATTCTCCTGTAGCACCACATCTCAAAGGAGTTTAATTTTTTGCTTTCAGACTGTTTTAACCTGTACAGAATTTGCTTATTTGCTCGTATTGCCACTTGCTATTTATTTTTACGCGAACAGTGAAAATATTACGTAAATATTGGTATGTATATTTTCGGAAATCCAGAACGTACTGTTATTATACCGTGTACTTTCTTCATTTATTTAGTTTTCATTGAAATAAAATTGAATCATTTTCCAGAACCGGCTGGTGTAGTAGCAGGAGCTGCCACCGTTTCATCGAAAAAAAGGAGGCGTGAAGTAAGGGCGAAAAAAAGAAGGCGTGAACTAAGGGGAATCACTCTGATGAGGAAATTAGAAGTAAGTTTTTTAATATTTAATATATATATATATATATATATAATATATATATATATATATATATATATATATATAGCCTCTCTTTATAACGATTCCCTATATAACGATAATTCCTCTATAACGATGAAAATAGTAAAACGTTGGTTTATTCGTCATAAGGACAATGTATTAATTGTTTCTCTATACCGATATCGTTCTCTCTTTATAGTGATGACTTTTCAGCGTTCAATAGTCGATGACAAATTTGTTTAAAGCTCAGACTACGTGAGTCATGGGTGACAAGGTCATTGTCCAGCGGTTGTTTTGTTTTGCGCTTAAGAAATGAGGCCATCTATTCTACTCATTCTTTTCAGAGGGTTAAGTGGCTAGCTTTTATTGTTCGAGCGGCGTGACTAACTGTTATCACACAGATGTTGTCATCTATTGACGGCTTTTCATTTCCAGTTTGAGTTGTGTCTCAGTGTGTCAATAGTAAACATGTTTTCGAAATAGCGTAAAATGCACTCGGTGGAGGAAAAGTTATCGATAACGTGAGCAATAGATAAAGGAGAAAAGCAATCGGATGTCGTTCTCCGTATGGGGCTGTCTCAGTAAACTGTGGCTACGATATGGAAGGACACAAAAAAATGGCTTGAAGCGGAGATGGAAGGCGGTAGCCGGAAGAAGTTGCGGAAACCTCAGCACGAAGATTTAGATCGCACTATGCTTCAGTGGTTCCAGCAGCAGTGCATGAACCATATTCCACTATCTGGGTCTGTGGTCAGGACAAAAACTGAGTTTTTTGCACCTGAGCTTGGAATTAAGAATTTCAAGGCATCTGAGGGTTGGCTGAGCAAGTGGAAGCTGCGGCACAAGATCAACTACGGAAAAATCAGCGGAGAGGTTCGCGAAGTTAACAAAAACGTAACTGATGATTGGCTAGAAAACGTGTGGACTGAACTGAAGGCACGATATGCGTCAGACGACATTTTCAATGATTATGACACTGGCTTGTTTTTTAAAATGATACCAAACAACACTTTAAAATTTAAATTGGAAAAGTGCGTTGGTGGAAAGCTCTATAAGGAACGCATTATGGTTTTAGTGGCCGCTAACATGACCTGTTCGGTGAAGCGAAAAACCGACGTTGCTTTAAAAACATAAAAAAATCTACCGCTGATTTATAAAGCAAACAAGAGTGCTTGGATGACTTTGGAAATTTTTGAAGAAGCGATAAGAAAGTGGGATATCGAGCTTAAATGGAAAAAAATCTTCTGCTTGTAAACAATTTTCCTGCTCATCCTGTACTATGCGACCTTCAAAACATTGAATTTTGTTTTCTGCCAGCAAACACAAAGAGTCTCCTTCAGCCATGGACCAAACAGAAGACTTTTGATGGGATTGGTTGAGAACAATGGCGATCTTAAACTAAACATTCTTTACGCCATCCTAATGATTAGTAAATTATGGGACGAGGTGACAGCAATACAATAAAACAATAAAACAATAAAACAATAAAACAATAAAACATTCCTTCAAACACGCAGGATGGCTGGAACATCAAGGATTCACTGATGATGAAGATGACCTGCCATCATCAGTTTTGGACCACCAAAAATTATGTTTATTTTAATAGTTGATTTTTTCGTGAACGGATTAACGGTTTTCGCTAATTTTTTTTTAATATGTAATTTTAGAATTGTTCTTTGGTATTTACACAGTTGTTTTGCAAAGGTTTTTAAAACTTCTCCTTTGGGCTTATACCAGGTGGAAGAAAAAAATGTTTCTCTTAAGTTAATTTTGAGACAACCTTGGGGGGGGGGGCAAGGTACAAGGGTGGGTTTACATCGACACCATGTTGTAGTTTTATGTTTTGTGAACATTTTGTTTTTTAGATTCCCTGGTATCTATAAAAATAAAGAAAATATATGATTTTTATGTGTTTTAACTGAAATACTACGAAGTTAACAATAAAAATCACAACAGTTAACAAAACTTTGAAAACAGAATAAAACATAACGTAAACTAATATAGGTTTCCTAAACTATAATATAGTATACTACTTCTAATAATAGTTACTCGTCAACCAGGTGCGATATTCACAGTGCAACATAAAAGAGATAAGGTTTGTTTAATGAAGGATCTATTTTCTTTTGGGGTGGAATTTCCTTGACAGCAAGAACGGATTTGGTGTTTTTACGTAAAGGCTGTGTTTTAAAGATCGAAATTACAGAAATTTCGCTTTTTGAACACATTGTTCCTTTCGCAATTTATATAGGAAATAATTTTATCCCTACGCAAAGGCCTCACATATCGCGTGTCGTTACTAAATATTTAAGTGAGGTAAATATTCAGACATTGAATTGGCCCACTCACAATCCCGACATAAACCTATTGAAAAT